ATGACATGTGATTCATAAATTCAGGTAATAAAAGACATTTTGGCTTTCATCTTGGCTGCTCTCTTGTGTCCTTGCTCTTCTGAATCACACACTATGGGAGGCAAGAACCCATTTCTCATGAGTAGTGTTATGGAGAGGCCCAGGTGACAAGGAACTGAAGCCCCCTACCAACAGCCATGTGAGTGGGCTTGGAAGTAAGCTCTTCCAGACTCAGTTGACCTTTGAAAAGATTGGAACTTTGTGAAAGACCCTGAGCCAGAAGCACCCAGGCTAAGCTGATCTCAGAGTAGGGAAAAAGGCCTCTTTTCTGGTAGAGGAGCAGGATATACAAAGATGACAAAAAGAACAAGGCCATGACAGAAGTCTGCATATGGTCTGACATAGCTGGAGCCACGGATGATGGAGATCAGACTGGGATGGCCAGCAGCTCCTGGGGCAGGAGGGCCACTGAGGTGAGAGCTAGTACAGAAATAGAAGCTTAGTGACTGAACATGGGGAGTGGTGAGCAAGAGAGGTATGGTGAGCAAGAGAGGTATGGTGAGTGAGAAGACTCCTCACCAGGAATGGTAGGGGTGGGTAGAGGCTGAGTAGGAGAAGAATTACTGAAGCACAAGAGAGCAGCCTTTCCCTCTTCATGGGGTCAGTATGCTTAGGGAAGCAGCTGAGCTGATCTGGGGACACAATATAAAGGGTTATGGTGATAGTTACCAGCTGCTCAACATGGGGAATTTGTCAAAGGACTCTCTTGGACTCACAACTACTAACAGTTAACAAATACAAACAGATCCTTAAAATGATCACTATTTTAGGATGACTGAATCTTAAGATTCTACCATTTTGAGAAAAGAACTGTTGTTGTTGTTATGTGCCATCAAGTCGGCCACGACTCATAGCGACCTCTCCTTGGGTTTCCGAGGCAGTATCACTACGGAAGTAGATTGCCCAACTTCCTTCCAAGAAGTGGCTGGTGGGTTTGAACCGCCAGCCCTCTGGTTAGCAGTCAAAGAACTAGTATTTCTTAATCAGATTAAAAATTCAAAATAACCAGAGAGGGAAATCCCTGAATAAATATTCAACTGTAGCCCATTTTCCACCACTTGTCTGTCAGTTTGTCATACTGGGGTGGCTTGCATGCTGTTGTGATCCTGGAAGCTATCCCGCTGGTATTTCAAATACCAGCTGGGGTCACCCATGGTAGAGAGGTTTTCAGTGGATCTTCCAGAGTAAGACAGATTAAGATGATGTGGACGTCCACTTCTGAGAAAGCTGGCCACTGAAAATCTTATGAATAGTAATGACACACTGTCTGAAATAAGGCCAGAAGAGAAGCCCAAAAATAAGACTGCAGAAGACCTACCTTCTCAAAGTAGAGTCAATTTTAGAGACATGTATGAAGCAAAACTGTCAGGATCTTCATTTGCTGATGTGGCACAACATAAAACGAGAAGAAACAGCTGTAAACATCCATTAACAATTGGAATGAATAAAGTATGAATCTAGGAAAATAGAAGTTGTCAAAAATGAAAAGAAATGCATAAAGACTGATAGCATAGACATCAGTGAGCTGAAATGGACCAATATTGGTCATTATGAATTGGACTATCGTATGGTCTACTACATCAAGGACAACAAATTGAAGAGGAATGGGATCACACTCATCATCAAAAAGAGCATTTCAAGATCTATTCTGCAGTACAATGCTAGGATAGGATCAATGATAAGATACATGCCTATATGGAAGACTTGTTAATATGACTATTATTCAAACATATGCACCACCCACTAAAGCCAAAGATGAAGAAAATGAAGATTTTTACCAATTTTCTGCAGTCTGAAATCAACCAAACATGTAATCAAGAGGAATTGATAATTACTAGTAATTGGAATGCAAAAGTTGGAAAATAGGACCTTGGTGACAGAAATGACTCTGGAGATCGCATGATACAATTCTGCAGACCAACAACTATTTCACTGCAAATACCATTTCATAAGTGGACCATGCTGCATGGAATTATACAGGAATCAGATCAACTACATCTGTGAATAAAGGTGATGGAGCAGCTCAGTATAGCCAATGAGAACAAGGACAGGGACCAAATGTGGAATAAGACCATCAACTGCATATAAGCAGTTGAAGTATAAGATGAAGCTGAAGAAAATTAAAACAAGCCCATGAGCACCAAAATATGGCTGTAAGTACATTCCACCTGAATTTAAAGACTATCTGGAAAAAAAATATGACACATTGAAAACCAAAGACTGAAGACCAGACAAATTATGAGATGACAATAATGACATGATACATGAACAAAGCAAAAGGTCATTACAAAGACAAAAAAGGAAGAAAAGACCAAAATGGATGTCAGAAGAGACTCTGAAACCTTGCTCTTAAACAGAGAGTAGCTAAAGTAAATAGGAGAAATAATGAAGTACAAGAGCTGAAGAGAAGATTTCAAAGGGTGGCTTAAGAAGACAAAGTAAAGTATTATAATGAAATGTGAAAAGCCTTCAAGTTAGAAAATCAAAAGGGAAGAACACATTTGGCATTCCTCAAGTTGAAAACACTGCAAGCTCCAAGCTGCAATATTGAAGGATTCATGGGCAAAATATTGAATGAGCAGAAAGCATCAGAAGAAGATGGAAGGAATATAAAGAATCAATGTACCAAAAAGAATTGGTTGACATTTAACCATTTAAGGAGGGAGCATATGATCAAGAACCAATGATATTGAAGGAAGAAGTCTAAGCTGCACTGAAGGCACTGATGAAAAACAAGGTTCCAGGAATTGATGGAGTATCTATTGAGATGTTTCAACAAACAGATTTAATGGTGGAAGCACTCATCACTCATTTATGCGAGGAAATTTGGAAGAGAACAGCCAACCTGGCCAACTGACTGGAAGAGATCCATATCCCTGCCTACTCTAAAGAAAGGTGACCCAAGAGAATGTGAAAATTATTGAACGTTATCGTTAGTATCAAACACAAGTAAAATTTTGCAGAAAGTAATTCAAAACCGGTTGCAGCAATACAAGCCAGGGAACTGCCAGAAACTCAAAGCAGATTCAGAAGAGGGCATGGAATAAAGGATATCACTGTTGATGGCAGATGGACCTTGGCTGAAAGCCAAGAGTATCAGAAATACATTTACCTGTGTTTTATTGATTATGCAAATGCATTCAACTGTATGTAGGCTAACAAATGATGGAGAACACATTGCAAAGAACAGGAATTCCATTAACACTCAATCGTGCCCATAAGGAACGTGTACTCAGAGGCCATTGCTCAAACAGAACAAGGGGACACTGAATGGTACAAAATCAGGAAAGCTGTACATCAGGGTTATGTCCTTTCACCATACTTATTCAATCTATATGATAAGCAAATAACCTGAGAAGCTGGACTGTATGAATAAAAACATGGCATCAGGATTGCAGGCAGACTCATTTACTGGCAACATTCAGATGACAATCTTGCTTGCTCAAAGTGAAGAAGACTTAACGCATTTACTGATGAAGATCAGAGACTGTGGTCTTCAATATGGATTATACTTCAGTATAAAGAAAACCAAAGTCTTCACAACCAGACCAAAAAGCACAATCATGAAAAATGGAGAAAAGATTGAAGTTGTCAAGGATTTCATTTTACCTGGATCCATAATCACTAATTATGAAAGCAGCAATCAAGAAATCAAATGTATTTGGGCACATCTGCTACAAGAGACCTCTTTAAAAATGTTAAAGAACAAAGATGTAAATTTGACAATTAAGATGCTCTTTAGAAGTGAGAATCTTCAGACTTTGTCTTTCATACTTTCATCATGTCATTGAAAGGGACCAGTCCTTGGCCAAGGATATCATGGTTGGTAGAGGGTCTGTGAAACCTCAATGAGACGGATGGACACAGTGGCTTCAACAATGGGCTCAAGCACAGCAACGATTGTGAGGAGGGTATAGGACTGGGCAAAGTTTTCTTCTGTTGTACAGAGTCACTATGAGCTGGAATCGTCTCCATGGCAACTAACAGACCAGACAGACAGAAAGGCCCTAAATCACCAGTTCCTTGGCTAGTCAACCCATTTCTAAAAGAAAATCACCAAATAGCTTTTTTTTTTATTTGTCTTAAAAATCTCTTGAGATAACCCAATGTTCTATCACTTCCAAATTTTTCTTACTTTTTGCTGCTCACTTCCTCATTTTGGGCCTTTTTAATAATTGCCTCAGACTTGTTTCAGTGACAATGTTTTGTAAAAAGTTTCTGCCCTATAGAATGTTGCTTAGAAGCTCAGGATAAGCCTGGCTCCACTCATTCTTAAATATATAAGGAGGGAAGAGAAGAGTCAAGAGAGCCAAGGATTGGACCTGGAGAGGGATAAAGAGTGATCATACAAAATGAGGCTCCTAACTCAAGGTGAGATTATGAACTACTTTTCTGTATTTATATTGTAGAAGAAAAGAAATCAAGAAAATTCCTGAACTCGATACTAGATCAACACATGGATTCTACTTTGTTGGAAATAAGTAGCCAAAGGAGTAAGTCTTATTAGGTGCAAACAACTTTTGTAGAGGGACAAATGTGATGGTACCATGTATGCAGAAACCCAAGAGGTTTAAGAAGCTGAGGTTTAAATAATTAGTTTCAAAAAACAAATAGAGTCCCTTTTATTTATCATTATTAGCTGATAATCCTTTTGAAAAGGCAAAGCAAATACAGTAGATAGTTAAAGAGATAGTTATAGTTCAAATAGTTAGAGTAGGCTACCACTAATTTTATCTAATTTGACTGCTAACCAGAAGGCTGGAGGTTCAAACCCACCAGCAACTCCTTAGAAGGAAGACTGGGCAATCTACTTCCGTAGTTATACCGCCTCAGAAATCCAATGAGGGGTCGCTATGAGTTGGATCTGACTCGACGGCAGTGAGTTTGGTTGGTTTGTTATTTTAGAAAAGACAGTCAGGGTTCTACTGTGAAAAGGCCAGTATGGACTTCCTCTTACTTACAGCTTCTTTCTCTCTGTCCATGATTGTTTCCAGTTCTTCAAAATGTCGAAGTTTGATCTCTAATTTCTTCATTTGTGTCTCAACCAGGAGCGCTACTAGGGACTTAATCTTTCTCTCTTCCACTGCAGCCAGGTGCTAAAAGCAAAATCATTCAAATTATTTAGGTAAACATTTGCTTAAAAAAAAACAGTTAAGAAAATGTTGAAGCTGATATTCAGACTGGGGATTAAGAATGGTTCCCTAGAAGCTCCTTTTGTATGTTTCTATCATATATTTATTTCAATTTAAAATGAAAACTGCCACTAAATTTCTGGTACTTACCGAGTATAAAAACTATCCTTTTAACCAACTTAAAAGAACTCTTCCTATGGTAAACTCCTCAATTCAGAAAGCCCATCAAAGAGGGAAAGTTGAAACAGGGCCCTCACGGGCCAGATGACAGGGGTGATCTAGGGGAATCCTCTTTCTTATGCCCCACCTCCTCACCCCCATGGCTATGTATTTTCTAGAGGCAGGCAGGCAGCAATAAAAAGTAAGATGCAAAGCCTCTGTCTTCTTTAGGGTGAGTGAACAGTATGTGTCAACGAGGGGTGGAACAATATTCCTTCTTTAGTTCGAGGGCAAGGTAATCTGGTGGTGCAGTGAATAAAGTATTTGGCTAACAAAATGGTCAGTACTCTGAACCCACAAGCTGCTCCACAGGAGAAAGATGAAGCAGTTTGCTTCAGTAAAGATTTACAGCCTTGACAACCCTATGGGGGCAGTTCTACTCCAACCTATAGGGTTACTATGAGTTGGAAACAACTTGATAGCGGTAGGTATGCAGTTTGAGGGTAGTGTTCAGAGCGGGAAAAACTAATACAGTAGAAGACAGGAAGTTACTCTAGAACAATGTGCCACTCCTTTGTTACAGAAACAATGAGACCTACTTGAGTTTCCTGTCAACTCAACTGTAGCACACAGAAGATGATACACCACCCAGAAAGGATGAACATTTCACCTGGCCAAAGCCCTGCAAAGGGCCAATTCAAACTTCTCTACACCATTTAAGGGCTTCCCCAACACACCCCCAAACCACTTTGCCTTCACTTTTATTATACCAGCTAAATTTATGTGCTTCTACATAAGGTTTTGAGAAATAGCAAGAAGTGATTGTCTTATTGATTTCTGTGTTTCCTACACAACCTAGAAGGAGCTGACATGCAGTAGGAGTTTAATAGAGGCTTTTGGAAGCTAAATTGGTAGTCATAACATTTAATGAGAGCTTTGTATCTCACCCTTTTATAGCTGAAGAACAGAAATGTAGTATCATAGCTATGGAGACCCATCTGCAGGAAGATTCAAAAATGTAAGCCAAAGGTGAGGATGTGAAAATGAATCTACTGTTGTTAATAATCACGTTTTCCTCCCCTAAACTGCACTGAGCTACAGAAATGCCAAAATTAACAAAAATTAATACAAAGAAAGGAAATGTAATCACAATATACTATAAGGATTTACAAAATCAAAATGATAAAAATACTGATTATTAAATTAAGTAAAAATAAGAATATAACCATTCTGGAAGACTGAGGAAGGAAGGTAGCGACAGTGCTTATGAAATACTAACACTCACCCTTCAATTAGGTTAGCAATATGGTCTAAAATTGAAAAATCAAGAAACAGCAAAAAACTGTTACTTACAATAATCAAAGTATTGTCCAACAAGAACTAAAAGTTAAAAAAACAGGTTGGGATCTGGGGATACAGAAGAGTGGAAAGGGATAGAGTAGGTACCAGCAGCATTTAAAAAATATACCTCCCAGATATTTTCATTTTAAATAGGAATTTTTATTTGATAAAAAATCAAAGGAAACCAACATGGAATGCAAAGGGAACTTTTTGGGGAGGGAGTTCCAGGTCCCTCAAGACCATGTATGAAAGGCAGCAGGAATTAGACATAAGTAAAAGGGATAGGCCTGAAAGGAGACCTTATGAGCAGATGGATGAGAAAACAAGGAAAAAAGAAATGAAAGAGAGGAAATAGAACAGGAGAAGGAAGGGAAGAAGGAGAAAGAGTGATGGAGAAGAAAAATCTATTGCAGTAGTCCGAGTAAAAAATGACGGTAGCTTGGGTTCAAGTGCAGGTATATTCACATAATCATATATTCACAAAAAAAAAAGCTTGCAAAGCAACATGCCACCATGATGAGAGTGATTTCAGGACATGATGGTAACACTGATCACTATGATAAAGCAAATCAAATAAACAAACAAAACTCTACTACTGTCAAGTTGATTAAGATGCATAGTGATTCTACAGGACAGAGTAGAAATGCCCCACAGCATTTCCAAATCTTTATGAAAGCAGATTGCTTCATCTTTCACCTGTGGAGCAGCTGGTGGGTTTGAACTGACTACCTTTTTTGGCAATAGCCAAATGCTTTTAACCACTGCACCACCAGTGCACCCCTGGTAACTATGGTAAGAAAAATTATTAATAATTCTTATCTGTTACAAATAAGTTCTAAAGTATTTATGGATAAAATAGTATCTGAGATTTGTTTTACAACATTCCAGCAACACCCCTTTCAGGCTAAAAGCATGTAAGAGAAGAATGCAACAAAAATAATAACCAAAGCTGGATGATGGCCACACAGAGCTTTGTTACTTTGTTTACCTTTGTACACACTGCAATTTCATAATAACGTTTTAAAAGGGGATTTTTTTTCAACAAATGGTACTGGGACAACTGGACAATATCCGTATGCAAAAGAATGAATTTGGACCCTTTATGTTATACCACATATAAAAATAAACTCAGTAGATCACAGACCTCAATGTAAGAACTAACATTAAAATTCTTAGGGAGAAAAATAGGAATAAATCTAAGTCACTGAGTTAAACAATGATTTCTTAGATACAACATCAAAGCACAAGTGATAAAAAAGAAGACTGAAGATTAATCAGTTGGACTTCATAAAAATTAGAAAATGTTTGGACTTCAAAGGATACCATCAAGGAAGTGAAAAGACAACCAATAAATTTTAAGAATATATTTGTAAACCATGGATCTGAAGAGGGATGTATCCTGCACATATAAACAACCCTTACAACTTATGCCCAGAACTAAAGTGATAGATACTATTGGCTACCTGAAGTCAAAGAAAAACATTCAGCTGTAAAACTGGACTATTTTCTTTTTAATGAATAATCAGTCATCCTTAAAGCCTGGAAATGAACTCACTCTCATGGTTCACCTTTTAGCCAAGCAATGGACAGGCCTGTAAGGTGCACAATGATATTAAAGGGGTATTGACTCTTTAGAACAACTGGCTACATAAGATCAGAAGAGCAGCTTTTGCCCAGGGATAAAGCTCAGAAGGCAGGAAAGGATAGGAAAGAAGGATGGATGGAAACAGTAACCACAGGGAGGAAGTGGGAAGAGTGCTGTTACACTGTGGGGATCACAATTAATGTCACTAATCAAAATGAATTACTGAATGGAAAACCAATTTCCCCTGCAAACTTTTACTCAAACCTCAATGAAAAGCTTTTTTTAACAAAGGAAGGAGACTTAAGAGGCAGAATCAAAAGCCCAGAGGTGCCAAGTCAACAGCCATGGGAATGAATGATTCCCAAGTAGCAGGTTTTGGGCCCTGATCATGAAATTGGAAACGCTAGATTTCAGGATTGCTATGTACTAGTGAGTCCTTTGTGCCTCCCATTTCTCCCTTCTTAAATGGAAGTAGAGTTATCCTTTTATGTCTCACCACTGTTGTTAGTACACAAACTTTTCAGACTGAGAAGATCAACATGAAAGAAGCTGCACCTGAGTAACTACTCCTGAGGATCTTCATCTCTGCCTTAGAAGGTAAGATCCCAGACCTCCAGCCTGAGCTTGATGACATGAGATAGGACTCTGGTGATCTTGGGAAAGAATGTTTATTTTGCATGTAGGAGATAATGCAAGTAATTTGTGGCCAGAATGTAGACTGTGGTGAGATAAGTGTTCCTTCCATCTAGAGGTATGGTGTCTCCTTATCTCAAATTTGAATAGAACCTGTGATTACTCTGACTAGGAATATGGCTGAAGTTATTCTGCATCAGTTTTAGGGCCCAGGTCTTAGGAGACTGGCAGCATTTCCTTCTTGCTACTGTTTGGACACTTTTCTCGTTAAGTCCTAACCTACCATGAAAGGAGTCCACGTACTGTGAGAAGATCACTTTATTACGAATTAGGCCAAGCTAACTTCTTGGAGAGGCTATGAGGAAACAGTAATGTCAGCCAGCTCCCAGCTAGTCTAGCATAGGAATCGAGTATGTACTAAAGTTGTCTGAGATCCCAGCTGTGAGAATATTGAGTGATCCTAGTATATGCCACATGGAGAATTTTTTCAGTTGAGCCTGTACAAGTTCCTCACTGACAAAATCATGATATAAAGTGACTGTAGATTTAGGTCACTGAATTTTGGGGTAATTAGTTATATAGCAATGGATAACTAGAATAGCAACACAGCCAATCCTTAAGCTATGGCTTCTTGAAAGGTCTGGCAGTGATGATGACCATGACCTTCCAGCAAAGGCAGAGCCCCAAATTTTCACATATGGTTTTATAAAACCCAAGAAGAATGAGGAGGTCAGGAAGTGCGTATCAGAAGGTTTATGGAATATGGAAGAAACAACTTGGAAAAAAAAAAACTAAAAACAGTAAGAAAATAACAACTTGGTTGGAACAGAGTTGAGGTGAATGTTACATAACAAAGCATGCATTCTAACTATAAAAAAGTAGTGGTTTCTGTGGGAAATTGCAGTAAAGGTCATGAGACAAAGTGTACATCAACTGCTGTACAGAAAATGAATTTGCTCTGTAAACTGTCACCCAAATCACAATAAAAATTAATAATAAAAAAAGCGCAGTGGTTTCTAAGTAATCACGTAAGAATAAATGTAAATAGAGCTAACTATAGGCTAAATGACCAAACAGACCATTTTTTCCTTTTGTGTGCTGCTCTCTACAGTATTATCAAGTAAAAGAATACGGTATCGATGATCAATGTTTAGTGAAAATTAATTTCAACCAACAATTTACCTGTTAGAGTTTGTGATTAAAATGTATAATGAGAATCTCCCCATCTCACGAAGGAATGAGAGGC